AAAAATTAATAAAAATAAAAAAATTTTTAAAAATAAATAAATAAATAAATAAAATAAATGCTTAAACATGCCCCAAACTGCCTCTTATTAGAACCAGCACAGTGTCTCAATTTGGTGCCCCAGAAGGAAAGGAAGGCAGGAGCCAAGAAATAAATCTAAACCTGGTCTCTATCCTGCCAAGCCGAGTCCTCCCAGGGCCTTGTTTATAAAATGAGAGACCCAGGGGCGCCCGGGTGGCTCAGTCGGTTAGGCGTCCGCCTTGGGCTCAGGTCATGATCCCAGGGTCCTGGGACTGAGCCCCGCGTCGGGCTCCCTGCTCAGCGGGGAGTCTGCTCCTCCCTCTCCCCTGCAACTCCCTCTGTTGCTCCCCTTGCTCGTGCTGTCAAATAAATAAAATCTTTAAAAATAAATAAATAAATATAATAAAATGAGTGACCGGAAAATCCCTTCTAGCGCTGAAATCCTAGGAATCCTAGGGTTCTACTGCCAGGTGCTTTCCTCAATGTTAGCAGATTTCTTCCTTTCAACAACTCTGTTACATCCACGTCACAGGCGAGGAGCTTCCCAGTCACACTGCCCAGCGTCAGCCTGCCTGCTGCGCGCTTCGCCATCCCATGTTACCCATCTACTACTCCTTTCTCTTTCCTTTCCTTTCATGCAGAACAAGCAAAGAATTATGAATTGTCAGTGAGGATCAATTCTTCTCCGATCCTCCTTTAAGCTTCTTTCCTGAATGGCTTCCAAAAGCTGAGCCTATTCTAGAATGATTAATTCTTTATGAACTGAAGCGAGCACTAGCCTCAAACAAGGACGCGGCTGATGCGGTGGGGACGCTGTTCCGACCTGGACAGCAGCCTTCTGAAGAGTAGAGGGAGCGGGGCGGGGGCGTAGTGGACGGGGGAAGTGAAGAGAGTGCTCTCAGAGCCCTTGGAGGAACACTTGGGAAACCTCCGGTGATGAATTCTGTCACAGGCCTGATGTGGCCTGGGAGCCCACGAAGAGCCCCTGGGTAGACACACAGGGTGGCACTCCCCAGACTGACGAATAAAGAGCCACCAACCTCTTCCATGTACTCAGGCTCCGAAGCAGACGCGTCCCAGCGGTTGTTCAGGATGAAGATGTTTGGGCGGGACAGGCGCTCACTGACCTTGTGGAAGAACTGCTTCTCCTGATGGGGCAAAGACCTCAGTATAGGAGGGGCGGTGTCGGCCAAGCCCCCCTTCCCACCCAGCTAGGTTCTAGGGGTACAGGAAGAGGTGGAAGAGGGGCTACCGTCTGCATCAGCGTAGACTCCGAGTTGGCCACCAGCACAAACACATCGGCGTCCAGGCAGAACTTATCGATCCAGCTGTCCAGCTCCGTGGTGACATCAATGCCAGGGCTAGAGGTGACAGAGGCAAACTATCATCAGGCACCCAGACCGGGGGCTCTGTTCTTCCTGCTTTACACGGACCCGAGGCAGCCAGGCAAGGGAGGAAGAAGTTACAGATCTGAGAGAAAGTGGGCCTGGCCTTTATCAGAGGGATGTTTACTTTTCACTTCATACGCTTCTTAATTGTCTGAAAATGTGTGTCTGTTCCATCCCTGTGTCACTTTCATAAAAACAACGATTTGTAATTTCACTTTGGGGATAACAATTAAGGTAAAATTTTACATGCATGTGAGTCCCATAAGCACCAAAGTACCGTACATACTTCCCAAGATAGTTATAACCTGTCCCCAAAGTGTTCCTTCAAGAACATTAAATACCACACAGACCCCACCACCGCCAGCCTCCACCCTTAACACATGCACCAACATTGGGTCGAGGCTGAGACCCTCCTTCACTTTTGGGCGTCCCCCCCATCCCTCTTTACAGACCATCACTGGGACCTCTCCAGGGCACTGACGCCAACGGATACAGTAACCAGCCCCTGGGAAATCCAGGAGACAGGAGGATTTGGCTGAGCCAGTTTGAAAGGCGGTCTACTTAAGGAGAGCAACGACAGGCCCCGGGGGAAACTGGCCTGGATGACGCCAAACCAGAAACCTGGAGACTGCCCAGTTTGGACCTCCGAAGGAGGCCCTTTCCTCTCACCTGTCCATCAGCACGAGGTCATCCTTCAGAAGCGGACACTTAGAGTTGGGCCACATCACACTCACCAGGCTGCCAGCATGCAGCTGCTCGTCCTGGTGAAGGGCATGGGCCAGCTGGTTCACAGTCTGACAGGGGAGGAGGGAAAGAAAGAGAGGTCAGGGCTGAGGAAGAGTCACCCGGCAGGAGGCTGCGGCGGCCCAACGCTGCAGTCTGCCCTGCGACCCCATCTTCTTTCTTTTCACACGAAAAGCCAAGAGCACGGAGTTGCAGTAAGAAACCACTGTTCTTCACTCCCCTTTTAAGCTTCTTTCTGGGAGGTTGTCCTAAAGCTGCGGTTATTCTGCACCGATGAGTTCTTTATGACCCAAAGCAGCATCTAGCCCCAAAGAGGACGCAAACGGTTCTCAGAAAAATAAACATGGACTAGCCGCTAGCTGTTGATTCAGAATCCCGGAGCCAGTGCGGGAATCGCTCTCAAGCAGCCGCTCAGGAAATGAGGCACAGGCTTGCTTCATGGCAGAGAGAGGCCGGCTGGCCTGCCTGGCATTCCACAAGGACCTGGAGCCTCCTGACTCTCAACCCTCCCCGAAGATCTGGCATCTCCTTGATGGCTCAGCTCCAACAGGGCTTCCCATCCACCCCTGCGGGGGCACTGCCCTCTCCTTTAAGGTGCTGTCAGTCTGCTCGCAAGGGACATCCCGGTTGGTCTAAGCTCCAAGGCCGCCAGCATGCCGAGGGCCGAAAGCCGAGCCCGCAGGCTCCAGCTGGAGTGGTCCCTGCCACAGCCCCCTCACCTTGACGCTGCGCTTCTCCTCCGAGCCCTCTGTGAGGAGGAAGGCCTCGTGACCGTCTGTGCCCTCAACCCGCAGGAAGCAGTTGGTGGTGTGGCCGATCCCGGAGGGCAGAACCTTGTCCCAGAGCATGGCATTGATCACGGTGCTCTTGCCGTTGCTCGTCCTGTGAGGGGATACCGGCCATCAGGGAAGCTCCCCATACCTGCATTTCAGGCTCCCACTGTGAGGCTGCCGGCCCGGAAGCCCCAAGTCTCCTTCTCTGTGGGGGCGCAGGTACCCAGACAGGCAGAGCAGGCGCTCGGTGTTTATGAGAACAGATGGACAAATGCCTCTGGCCTGTGCCCGTGATGTGCTCCCAGCTCATCACAGCAAGCCTACCCACGAGCAGACACTTAACCGGCCCTTGGTACGCCCACCGCTGACCAGCATCACCACGGAGACCACCTGTCTACCTCCGAGGGATAACGCCCTCTGCTTCTAGTGGAAACCAGGGGCTCCCCACCAGGGCGGTCTTCCTTAGTCTAAGTGACCTCAGCTGAATGACACCCATGTCCCTGGCTTTCCACAAAAAGGCCCATTTGCAGCTCTTCTCCCATCGTGCTCCTCCTCACACGCGAAGCCCCACCCTTCAGTCCCCCTGATAACTGTCACCACTGGGGAGATGACTAGAGCGTTCTTGCCCAGCACACCCCTTTCCTACATTCCGGTAAGGTGAGGGTCACATCTCTGAGATGAGGATGAAGAAATGCCAGCCCCTAGGAGTGGAGGGCCACACCTGAGGTTGGGGCCACCTTATCTTCTTAACTAGCATGGTGACCTGTAGTAAGTGCATGTGACTGATTTACTAACCCTCCCTGTGTATCTATAAACCTTACATTCCTTTCCAGAAAGAGAATAGAAAGCCCTGACACGTTACAGAACAGGAATTCGACCTCTGGCCAACGCTTGAACACTGAAAGCTGTAAACAGGCACAACCATATCTACTCAGAATCAGGAAATGTTAGAGGCCCCTACACCTTCTCACTGATGAACGACCCTCAGCCCTGCAAAATCCTCTTGGCTAGGGGCACCTGGGTGGCTCAGTTAGGCGAGGACTCTAGGTTTCGGCTCAGGACATGAGATCAAGCCCCGGGCCAGGCTCTGCCCTGGACGTGGGGCCTGCTTAAGATATTCTCTCTCTCCGCCCCTCCCCCTGCCCTCTCTCCCGCACGGGTCCTTAGGGGCAGGACTCGAGGCAGAGCACCTAGTCCTCAGATGCCCGCTGGGTGTACAGCACCCAACCTGTCCAGGTGCCTTTTCCCTGTATCAGATTTTAACCTTTTTAAAGGTACTGTGATAAAATAAGAAATGTATTTGACTTGTTTTTTTATCTCCAGTTCCTAGAACTGAGCTCCTAAAATCCTTGGAATTTCCTAAGTGATGGGAGTGTCTTTTGTCATTCACAGGAGCCCCTTTTGAGCACGTCTGTCTATGCTGATGAGGGGATCCAGGGTGGGGTCCCTAGACAGTCTCAAAATGGGCTGGTCACCAGAAAGACCAAATGATGAGAGGACTGGAACTTTCAGCCCCACCCACCTACTTCAGGGAAAAGAGGCTGTGGATTCAACTCCATAAAAAATCTTGAACAAGGAGGTTTGATGAGCGTCAGGGTTGATGAAGGCATCCACACACCTGGAGGGTGGTACTTCTGGACCTCACCCTGTGTACCTCTTCATCGGGTGGTTCTTCTGTATCTTTTATACCAAACCAGTAAACGTTAAGTCAATGTGTCCCCCGCTTTGTGAGCCGCTCTAGCAAATTAATCAAACTTGAGGCAGAGTCATGGGAAAGCCCGTTCTACCGCCAGTGGGGCAGAAACCCAGGTTTCCCAACATCATCTGAAATGAGGCCAGTCTTGTGGGACCGGGCCCTTAACCTACAGGATGTGATGCTCCCTCCAGGCAGACAGTGTCAGAGCTCGGTTCCACCTGAAGGATACCCAGGGTCTGCCGAGAACTGCAGAACTGCTCCAGAGTGCGGGGAAACACTCCAGACCTCTAGTAGCTACTAGACCTCCAAGTGTAACAAGGAGATCTGATGGCTAAAACCATAGGACTCTTGGAAGAAAACAGAGGAAAAGCCTCAGGACATTGGATTTGGCAAATTCTTGGACGTGACCCCAAAAGTACAGGCACAGAAGTATAAATAAAGGGGACTACATCAAAATGAAACACTCCTATCAAAGGACACAGTCAACAGAGTAAAAAGGCAACCCATGGAATGGGAGGAAATATTTACAAATGACACACCTGGTAAGAGTTAATATCTGGAATATATACAGAACTCCTACAACTCAACAAAAAAACCCACAAACAACCCAATCTAAAATGGGCAAAGGACTTGAACAGACACTTCTCCAAAGAAGACATACAAATGGCCAATAAGCACAAGAAAAGATGCTCAGCATCACTTAATTAGAGGGAAATGCAAACCAAGCCCCAATGAGATCCCACCTTACACCCATCGGGACGCCTATTATCAAAGAAAGAGAAAACAAGTGTTAAGAGGATATGGAGAGGGCGCCTGGGTGGCTCAGATGGTTAAGCGTCTGCCTTCGGCTCAGGTCATGATCTCAGGGTCCTGGGATTGAGCCCCGCATCGGGTTCCCTGCTCAGTGCAGAGCCTGCTTCTCCCTCTCCCTCTGCCACTCCCTCTGCTGGTGCTCTTCTATCTCTCTGTCAAATAAATAAATAAAATCTTTAAAAAAAAAAAAGAGGATATGGAGAAGGGGCGCCTGGGTGGCTCAGTCGTTAAGCGTCTGCCTTC